CCCGCATCTCTGGGTACCTCCCGCATCCCTCTCCTCGGTACCGGGTACCTCCCCCCGCATCCCCGGGTACCTCCCGCATCCCTCACCGCGGCACCAGGTACCTCCTGCATCCCTGGGCACCTCCTGCATCCCTCTCCTCGGTACCGGGTACCTCCCCCCGCATCTCTGGGTCCCTCCCGCATCCCTGGGCACCTCCCGCATCCCTCTCCTCGGCGCCAGCCCCGCGCATCTCCCTTCATCCCCGGCGAGCTCGGGGCTGCCCAGATCTCCTCCCCGGTACCTGATACGTGCTGAGGTCATTGTTGTGACGCTCCTCGATGTCGCTGAGCTGCCGCTCCAGAGACTCCTTGGTGCCGCGCACAGACTCGAGCTTCGAGCTCGATGCTCTTGGACTGGAGCTGCCGGCGATACTCGGCGATCTCCTCCTTGGCGGAGCGAATCGCCTCCTTATTCTGCTCGGCAGCCTCGGTCAGCTTGGCATAGCGACACTTGAACCATTCCTCCGCCTGGTGCATGTTGTGGTCGGATTGGCACTCCAGCTGGGCACGGATCTCCTTCAGAGCAGTCGTCAGGTCTGTCTTCAGGTAGTCCTTCCTCTCTACGGTGGCATGGGACGCCTGGAGCTGAGCCAGCAGCTCTGCCACCTCCTCCTCGTGGTTACCCCTTAGGAAAGCCACTTCATCCTGCAGCGACTGCACCTTCTTATCCAGCTCCGCCCGCATCAGCGACGCCTCCTCCATCTCCTTGCGCAGCGCTCGGATCGTTGCCTCCGTCTCGTCCCGCAGCCGAGCCTCATCCTCGAAGCGTTCCCGGAGGCGCTGGATATCCTCCTCGATATGTTCGGAATCCAGTTGAATTTGAGCCTTTTCGTGGCTCACCTGTTCCAGAGCCCCTCGCAGCTCCCGCAGCTCCTGCTCGTAGGCGTCGCTAAGCTGAGCTCTCCCGGCGTGTTTCTGCCGCAGCGCCGCCAGCTCCGCCTCGATCTCCTTATTTTGCTGCTCCAGGTAATGTACTTTCTCGATGTAACCGGCGAAACGATCGTTCAGCCCTTGCAGTTGCTCTTTTTCGTTGGAGCGGCTGAGTTTGAGCTCCGTCGCTCCGTTCAGTAGAGAGGACTGGCTCACGTCCAGGCTCTCGGCTGAGCTCAGCACGGTGGAACCGTAAGCTGCCCGAGCTCCCCCCAGGTTGGGACGCTTGTAGGAGGAGGAGACGGTGCTGCCCGAGCCCCGAGACCAGGACTGCGAGCGAAAGC